AGCACCACTTTCACTTTGATTTTCATAGATATTCTTAAAAGTTTTGGTAAAGACTTAAATACTGTTACTGAGGAAAAAAACCCACAAAAAAACCAAAAACAAACAACAAACTTGCTTGTGGCAGAGAAGTATACAAATAAGACTTGAACTCTAGATTTTCTTCTTTGCTTCTGATTTGTCTTTAAAACATGCTTCTATCAACACCATTCTTGCAAATTTCTTTAGATCTAGTCTATTTTTTGCCTACTTTCTTGGCAAAGGTGTAAAGAGGAGAAAAGGTGGAAGTAGCACTCTTTCTGAAATACCACTTTCCCCGATTGAAGAAAGCATATCTTCCAACCACTACTTTTGCCAGAGACACCAATTACCGGATTTAGCTCCTTCATACTTATCTTTGATCATGAAAATCTAATTGTCTGGCTATGTGGCTGTTTTTCTTTTCTTTTCTAAATAGATATTCAATAACTGTGAAGGTAAGAATATATTTTTTTTTTAAATTAACAGAATTTCTCTTTTCTGGCCTCTGGCTTCTCTTAAATATTGTACAGAAAATAATCAAGTCTTGGTTTACACAGTATCTGAAATAGATCATCATTGCACAAAGATTTGAAAACTGAATCAAATCTGCATCAAAATGAGGTCATGGTAGCCAGTAGAAAATTTTATCTCAGATGTATTATCTCTTTCCCTTCTCCAACTTAATTTATTGCCACTCATTAAATGTTACAATGCATAAAGGCTTTTTGGTATGGATTTTAATAACCAAGTGAACTGTTTTATTTCTGATTGTCCGTACCAAGAAATGAGATCTGCTCTAGGACTCACAGTGCAAATACAATAGGCCATATTTCTTCTGGGCATTTATGACCTTGAGTGGTTGAAGGCACCTTTAAGCCTCACGTCTGACTCTAAGTAAAGACTTCAAGTGAAATGCCAGAACTTCTGCTATTTACCATCACTGGAAAATGACTTGGAAAGGAGCAACAAACTTCAGCTTTTCAAGCACAGCAGAGAATGCCCACTTTCAGTGCCAAACTCAGCCAGCAGAGAATCCCAAATTTCAAATATTTCAATTATTTTCTGCTGGTTTTGGTACAAAACTAGAGCAACAGACTTCAAAATGCTATTCGAAAGTAGATTGCACTCGTTCATACAGACCTATGTAATTTCATTTTATTTCTAATATTTAACTGTGAAAGTTCATTATATTTCTAATGTCTTAAGTATCTTATTACAGCATTCAGGATCATACTGAAAATGAGATCACCTTTAGGACTATTAACAGAGCTACACTTTCCTCTTCCCCTCTTCTTTTTCCCTCTGACTGTTGTTACTTTTTACCCTTTTCATTTTCCTCCCTGCAGAAATTTCCTGTCTGGGTTTCAAACATAACAATTTTCTCACTCATTTCTTTAACAAGTAACCATTAAATGTTCAAATTTAAATTTTAATTAGCATTATTTTCAAAAGAGACAAGTAAGCAACCACTGCCTTCATATTTCAGAGTTGTTTCACACTGGATGCTTACTGCAGAAATCACTGTAATGTCAAAAGTCTGCTGTCACTTCCTTTTAAGAAACCTATCTGTCCAAACAGATGAACTAGAAACCACTTAAAAGTGGGGAAGAGGGGAGAACAGAAGCAAAACCTTTGATATAGCAGGATTTAGACTCCTATCAGAGCACCTGACACAGCTGTTTTAGACTTCATTAAGCACCTTTCAAGTGAACAGAACCACTGACATTGCTGTAGTGTTCTGTCCCTTCACTTTTATATTTCTTGGACTTTTTTTTCCCCTGGAATTCTTATATTTATATTAATTCTGAAACAATTTTCACCATTTGGAGGTCCTTAATCACCTCTTAAAATACAAAATTAAATGTAAAAAATTCCTTCCCAATTTGTTTTTCTGCCAAACCTACTCTTTAGCTCACTTAATCTCTCCATTTTTCTAATGCCTTCCCACCTAAGCATGAAGAGCAAACAATTCTCCCTGCAGTGTCTGGTAGGCTGTGCAAGACAAGCTATTTCAGGATATAAACTATGCAATAGGGCTAGCCTGAAGCAGAGCAGTGCATTCACCTGGCTCAGCTCATCCATACTTGCTTAGTCCTGCATATTTGCATTAGCACAGCAGTGTTCCTGTGCTAATTAGAGCTGCCACTCAGCACAGCTAAACTGGCTACAAAAAATTGCTGACATCAATCTATTGCTTTTAAATTTAGAACGGTATCATCGCTACTCAGGTCTCTGCTCAGCACTGCACTGCACAGTGTACACATACTCTTAACATTCTCCTGAACAGCATCTTATCCTCCTTGACCATACAACAATTCCTACCTTGTGCTTCTTCCAGTTTGGATTACCTCTTTTCAATAGGAATGACCATGGCTGTAGTTTATCAAGGAGTGATCAGCAGAGCCTTGTAAAATGGCATAAGTTCGCTCATGCCTCTGCTGGAAATACCATCTCCAATACCTATGACAAATCCTCCTCAGTTGCCTCCTCAGTTCATCTTTCAATGAACTGAGCAATATTGCTCAAATCTGAGGCTGGCAATATGGAAGAAAAAAAGAGAAAAATATCCATCCATTGTTATCCTTTCTTCTTCTCTTTCCTTCCCCTCTTACAGAAGCTGCCTCCTTCCTAGCAGTTACGGGAATAGCACAGCCTTTAGATGGAGCCATTGGGGGCAAAAGAACAAAAGGCAAGTGGGATTAAAAAAAGGCAGTACAGCCATGGACACACTGGCAGCAATCATCTGACAGGCTAAGTGTGGATTTTTCTCCCATTTCTGTTTCCCTTCATTTTCAGGGATGACAAGACAAGGTGCAAGTGGATAATATGGCTATACAAGCACCGTAGCAAGACTAGACTCATCTCTGTAGAAAAGAAGGAACAATTAATTACTGGTGATGGGAAAGCTGTCATGGGTCCAGGCTGCACTCAAAGAAGGAACTTCACTGAGGTTATGCTGTTGAGACAGTCAGGTGTAGGATTTGCTAATGGTGAGAAAAGAGGCCTGGGAGTGAAAAGAATCCAATGATATAGGAGTTGCACAAGTCAGATTCACAGGAAGCCCCAGCATAGAGAAAGAGTGGAGGATCTGGGGATAGGATGAAGCCTGGTGAGGTCATTGTTGTGCTTACTACAGCTTAGGGTGCAAGGAGTTTGAGATATGGAGACTCAGGCTACACAAATTATCACAGAGCATGTACAAAGTAAGAAAAGGCTGAATTAGTGTCTTTTATCTCATCTGTCATTTAACATGCTATAGTTATCAAGAGTAAATTCTGTCCTGGTCCCTAAACACATGCCATTGTACTTCATTTAAGCACATTTTTTACACTTCTGTTATTCTAATTTCCCACAAACATCTTAGATGGAACATCTTCCCTATTCTATTCCACTGGGCCCAGAATTCAAGGTCAGAAACTGGTACAGCAAAACTTGAAGATAAGGGTTCAGAAAAATTTCCTCTTGATGGGAGGAATCATTACCAGCAGAAGCTACTAGAAAAACAAGGTTTCAGAAAATGTGGTTGTTATGGTACCTGCATGGAACATAAGTCACATCAATTACTACAAAAGATTTGAACTTATGGTCTTCATCTTCCATGTAATTAACCTAGCCCCTGATTTCTAGCAGCAGGCTATTAAATTACCCTGAGCTAGAGAATATTTAACTGTGTATACAAACCACATGAGTTCTAAGAGAAGAACTTGATAAAAAGAAATTGACTTTTTTAACAAACTGCATTTTCCAATGAAAAAAAAAATCATACTCAAAAACAATACCACCTAATAAACTGTATCTGTAATATGAACTCAGAAAGCTTGCACAATCCTGAGACCAAAGTCTGTGCATTTTTCAGGGAATGGTTACTCTCTGCTGATCTCTTCCAAACTAAATATGATTAGTAACAGCAGTTCCATTTAGCATTAACAAGAATTATTATGCATATTTGGCATAAGCATTTCTGGTGCACCACGGCATTTGGCTGAAAGCCTGATGATATTTTCTGTATTTATAGTGCAGTGTGTGAACATTTCTTTTCTATCCTTCACACTTTAAATTATTCAAGCTTTATGTCTTGGCCATGGAAAATAGTGCTATCCTGGGCTGTCATCCAAGAAGGGCTTCTTAAAGGACTAACAAGTTTGGATTAACTCTATAATATAAGAAGTCACTTGATTATTCCAGAAAGAGAAATAAAAAAGAATTCATATCACTTTATTTTCACAATAAACTTTTCTGCTTGGAGGAAGTGCTTGGTGGTCAGCCCAGGAGAACTGAACTCCCACAGCAAGTGCATCATAGGGACCTGAAGAGATGCGCTTTCCTGCCTTATATTGGAGTGTTGGATTGTACACTGGGAAGTGTTCAGGCTCCAGAGAATCTTTTCTCAGTATACTACTCCGTTCCTTTTGGTTCATTCTGACACTTTGTTACAGCTGCTAGAGCTTATGACTTCTGTGCTAAGTTTGTTACAAATATAGGAATATAAAGGTAAATATAAAAAAAACAAGGTAAGAAGCACAGGCAAGGGAGATGCTACGGGTAAAAATTGTTAACATTCGAGCCAGTAACAATTTTTAGAAATTCTTATGAGATAAATTCAAAAATCAAAGACATAAAACAACCATCAATTTTTCCAGATTTTTGCTGGTTTAGAGTCATAAAACAGTTTGGGTAGGAAGGGTCCTGAAAGACAATCTAGTTTCATGGGCAGAGATACCCTCCATTAGACCAGGTTACTCAGCACTCCATCCCAACCTGGCCTTGAACACTTCCAGTGATGTGGCATCCACACCTTCTCTGAGCAACCTCTTCCACTGTCTCACCACCCTCACAGTAAAGAAGCTCTTCCTTATATCTCGTCTAAATCTACCCTCTTCTAGTTTTAAACAATCACCTCCTGTTCTACCACAACAGCCCCTTCTAGAAAGTCTTTCTTATAAACCCTCTTTAAATTCTAGAAGTCTGCAATAAAGTCTTACCAGATCCTTCTCTTCTCCAGGCTGAACAACCCCAGCTCCCTCAGCCGAACTTCATAGGAGAGGTGTTCCATCCCTCTGATCATCTTTGTGGCTCCAGCAGGTCGTGGTCCTTCTTATGATGAAGACCTCAGAGTTGGACTTAGTACTCCAGGTGGGGTCTCACAAGGGTGGAGTAGAGGGGCAGAATCATCTCCCTCAGTTTGTTGGTCACACTGCTTGTGATGCAGCTGAGGATACAGTTGGCTTTCTGGGCTGCAAGTGCACATTTCAGTGCACTTAGAAAAGAAGCTCATATCCAAATATCACCATAATACTACTTTGTGTCAGGCATCCTCTTCATCTGCTTGTTCTAGAGCACCTCATCTCAACAGCAAGTCAGATTATTTCTGCCTGCAGCAAGTAGGATCATGTGCTGTGATCCTTCTCAGTTTATCTAATCTCTACTGATGCGTACCAGCTGGGGTTCTGGGGCTGGCTCCAACTAATGACTTTGATGCCTGCAGCAAGACCTGAACAGAAGGGAGGTTCCTAAATCTAAAGCTGCACTCCAAAATACCCCCAGATAGATGCTATTCAAGCTTGGAGGCATCTAAACTAACTATCTATCTCACTGTTTAACCCTAAACTTTCCTAAGCACTTAGAAATCTGTGTGACCACATGTGTCCTGGAGTGCCCCAGTGAGAGTGGCTGGTTAAGCCCATATTATTCCTCAGTCCTTTAGTATCTTACTGTGGTAGCAGGTCCAGATCACATCAACATACTGGAACTCTTCCTTTCACAAAACACAGTAGTAACTTTTTTTTTTTAAATGTAGACAAAAGACATCATGCCTGCCTTTTATACAATATCCATGTAGTTAGTGTGCCTGCACGGGTAGTGGGAGATTTTCATTCATTTCCAATGTGTGAGAGAGTTTGCCAGCTGCCATGCTGGACAAGAACCCTCTCTACTACTCCTGTCAAAGCTGTGATACTACAGATAGTAATTCAGGGTTTATACAATCAAAAATGAGAAGTGCAAGGTTAAGAATTATGGTTTATCCTAATAATCCAGGTGGGTTTCTTTTTTTTTTGCAAGAGACAGCTTTGATTACATGTCTTTTCTTGGATCAAACCATTGTCCTATGTCTACTAACATGAAAAAGAACCCTTTAGGATGAAAAGTGCTATGCATATATAAATATCCTTTTGTTACTGATGTAATGTGAGTTGCATTCTAAAAAAAGAGAGCCAATTAGGTCCCAGATTTGTAACCATCACAAATTTCCCGAATTTGTGACCACCACAAATAAACTGAATCCTGCTAAGAGAATTATTAAGAAAGGCAATAGAACTGCTGAACAAGAATAAAGTCTTTGAGGTAAGAACACAGGGTGAAAAACATGGGGTTCTGATGCTGAGAAAAGCAGAAATGGCAGAAAAAGCTCCACACAAAATAAACCAAACCAGATTCAAAAGACTGATAGAAACAGTTTTGCAGACTAGACACAACCAAATACAGCAAGAGCAGCAAATTACATCTTTGTCTCCCCCAATAACGTGTTCATTTATTGAGATGAGTTTCATGCAAAGTGAACAACACAGTAAGTAGTTATTTGTAGTGTAGATACTTTGAACTCCAAGAGCTGTGTTATGTTCTGGCTGTCACCACTTTTTCTGCAAAAATCAGAAGATTTCACATCGACTTCTATTGAAGTTAGAGTTTCTTTATATTTTCCAAATGAAACTCAGACAGAAGCAAGATATGCTACAAATCTCAGAAGGGATTTACTCAACACTTTTATACCAGCTTTATAGGTGCATTACACAGCTCTTTGTAAACATTAGGTTGTCAGCTGGGTTTTGGTAGTAACTGTATCTAGGTTGTTTTCCAGGGATAAAATAGCATAAAGGCTTGGTGGGTGGGGAAGGGATCACACATAGGAGGAGGTTTCCAAAGCAAAACAGAATAGTAGAACTTGACAAGAACTTGCTGGGAATCAGACTGCAGTCAGACATGCCTTTCTGAATGCAGTTAAACTGTGTTTCGAGGCTGTGAACTTAAAACTACTGAGCATTATCTTCCTGCCACAACCTTCTGCTGTTCGCTCGGATTTGTGACAGTCTACATTTGTTCTCCATACCCTAGAGTAGAAGTCCCAAAGAGCAACATTAAACCTTCTAGACACATGTTGTTATGGCTACACTGCACTGATAGGGATCATTTGATCAAATGATGGACTGAATTATTTTTTATTTAGTAGAACAAGCAGATCTGTTAGAGAGAATGAGTTCTAGTGTGAGGAAAGAGACAGCAATAGATATACAGATCTCCCGGTGGTAGATGCTCTCTCAGAAACAGTTCTGACAGTGGAACACAGACCTAGAGCACAGCCCTGATGGTGGGATCGGCAAGGTATTTTGAATGAAAGTCATATGGAAGCTGCAGCTAAGAACCACAGTTCAAAGTCTGCTGTTGGAAGAACTAGGAATGATGAGTGGGGTATGGTGAAGCAACTGTAAGGCTTGGAAGCCAAAAGGGATTTAGACCAAATTAGTTGTCAGAAGATTCACAAATGAGGACCTAAGGTGATTGATAGAGGCCTGCTGGGATTTGGGCTGTGGTTTTAAGCATATTTTCAGCACTTTAAAGCAGTTGAAAAGTGGGATCATTTCTCAAGGGACTGTAGGATGCAAATGCAAATCTTGAAACACAGGTGCCGTATGCCTTTTTTAGACGGCTCTGCTGAACAGTAAGTTAGCCTCCAAGGGAAGGGTGAAGTTTTGTTACAGAGGTCAAGTATGGAAGTGCAAAGGCTTTGGCTCTTGCAGTGCATCTAGCTAAATTCAAATGAAAAACACATTCCTAGTTGGTGTTGTATTTCATATTATCTTTAGATTTAGGAAGTTAACATGGAAAGGGTGCAAATCCTCTATGCTGTACAAGTCTCAATTAGTTTGACATTTATCACTGCCTCTTTTCCTAAACTATTATCTCAGTTGACAATTAGCTCAGTGCTGCTGTTTGACTACACATATAAGCATATTGTCATTGCACACCTTCCATATACCCTGTATGCAAGCAAATCAAAAACATCAGGAGTAGGGAGCTGAATTATTATAGTAATCTTATCTAACATCTCAGAACAGATAACTAACAGGCCGATATAATCCCGAGGTTCTTAACGTAGCTAACAGATACACGACACAACTGTCTATCCCAGCTGAAGTTCCATGTCTCTTTTTATAGATTATGGAATTTTATGGATTATAAATTGTTCCTTTACTTTGGTGTAACAAAGCTAAAGATTCAGAGTAAAATTTTTATTATGTATTTTTGGCTTCTTGTTTTTATGAAAACAAATAAAAAGTTTACAAATCTAGTAAATTTGAAAACTCATTTTCTAAATAATTTTTTTGCTGCTTCAAATCAGAACAACTTTTACTTTAAAATAGTCTATGTTCGGGTTTCTTTATAGAGCACTTTACTCAGTCTGAGAGGATGCATACTTTACTTTTCAGTTGCATACAATTTACTTTTTTTAGGATGAGAGGATGGCTATTAATACAACTTTAATTGTATTGTAAGTCAGCTTACTTACAGTTTTTCAGACCATAGCATGCTTTTGTCTGATGTTTTAATGTGATACATTTAGACAGAAAATCTGTATGTATTTTTTTATCCTCCTTAACTCCATCAATGGGTAAAATTTAAATGGGTTTTATAACAAGATATGTATTTATATTCACAAATTAATAAAATTATCAAAATACCTATCATAATAAATATAGAAAACAAATGTCACTACCAAATAAACCAGAAATTAACATTTTAGGTTAATACCAGCCTAATATTGAAAATAAACTCTCCTTCATGGCTTTCATATTTACAAGTCTCCTAATACAGGGTTTATATTCTTCTGTGAGTTATGAAGGATGTTTATATTCCTTCAAAATAATGCATTAAATAGATTGATATCTTTCAAGCCTTCTCAAAAGTGACAGACACTTGTCAAATTGTACGCATTTCTAGGCTTTGTGGCTTCTATTTCCAACTAACGATACACCCAAGCTCTATTTAAATTACTGTATTAATTATTGTTATCGCTTTTGATGTGAACTGCTCTCTTGGACTTCTACATGCAGGTCTAAGAGGAAGAGGTGACCAAGTCAAGATGCAATTCTATTTAAATGTAAGTATACGAAATGTACATAGCACATACCAAAAAATCAACAAATAATTACTAAAGTTCTTGTTGACAACTTCCAAGTCCCATTTTCCAACTGCTCCCTCCAACAGGAAACATATGTTTAAGAGGCAATAACTGTAAAATATATATTCTTTTTCATATTTCCACTGCTGCTTTTCACCTTCCTTTTTCTTATTGTCTTGGGGGGGTTTTGCTCTCTACACATACCTCTGTATCTGTCAAGTTTTTTCATTAGTTTGTTGAGATTTTTTCATCTCTTGAACAGTGATTCCATATCTTTCCTTCTCTTCTTTCTCCACTCACTGGTTTTCTGAGTCTTTTTACTCACCTTTTTTACAATATTCTTTCAGTGTTTTTAACTTTCTCTTAGTCAAATGCCCTCAATTTACTTCATTCTATAGAGTGTTCTTAGTATTTTCTTGGTTTTCAAGTTTCATATTGCCTACATGTCCATGAGTACCTGCCTTTTTATGCTCATTTCCCCCTCTAAATATTGACAACTGTACTGAGTCTGCCTGCATTGGAGTTAACTTTCTTCACAACAGCCTATATGTGTTTTGGACTGGGGGCTAAACTAGTGTTGATAACACACCAGTTCTTTAGCTATTGCTGAGCAGTGCCAAGGCTTTCTCTTTTTTCCCACTCTGCTCCCTGCAATGAGTAGGCTGGGGTGGGCAAGAAGTTGTGAATGAACACAGACAGGACAGATGACACAGACTGGCCAAAGAAATATTCCAGGCCATATAATATGTTCAACATTAAAAATGAGGAGGGGGTATTTGGGTAGGTAGCCATTCTGCTTGTGGAAGATGCTGACTGATTTCCTTTGCATCGCTTGTTTTGGTTTGGTTTTGCTCCTCTTTCCTTCACTTATTAAACTACCTCAATTCTGATGCATGTGTTTTCTTGCTTTTTTGTTTATTTTCCCTTCTGCCCTGCTGTGTAGAGAAAATGAGCAAGCAGCTATGTGATGCTTAGTTGCTGCCTTGGGTCAACCCACCGTAGTACTTCCACATATCTGATTCCTCATATCTTACTCAGAGGCCCAGATTCTGAAGATAAATCATTATTTTAGAATCCAAATTTTGATACTAAAAGAAGACATAATGAAAGAAGAGATAAGCTTCTTGACCATGATGTTGCAGAAAAAGAAAGCTTGAGAATTTGTTCTGGTTTTAAGAATTAATGAATG